CCGCTTAAGCATTATACACTATATAAAATGGTTTTTTTACAAATCCTACTAGGATAGGATTGAACCCGTGAACCTCTAAACTAGATCACGTGATCAGCTGAAATAAACAGTTGTGGTTGGTTAGAATTGAACCCGTGAACCTCTAACATATTTAGCATATGTTAGAATTAAACCCGTGAACCTCAGTTACCATTAGTTAGATTCGAACCCGTGAACCTCTAACATAGGTTAGATTCGAACCCGTGAACCATATTAAAATCAAACCTCCAATACACACCCTATATATATAAGATACAAGGTGTCATTTACCAATATAAAACTCCATACCCATAACATTGCTGTAGCTCAACCAGCTAACGCATACAACTACCAACAAAAAGACCGGGGTTCGAAACCCGGTCAGGCCAACACTTTTTATCCATTATTTAATATTTAATACAAACACCTACTGACGTCACGTGGTCAGCTGTGGTCAACTAATCAGCTGAGAGTACACCTAGATCATCTCAAGGTCAAATTTCTGCTAGATCGCTGCCATGACTACTAGTGTCTGAGTCGGCGGAAGAACAGGTAGGTGGGAGCTGGAATGATAAAGTTTATAAAGATGATCATTTTCGCTAGTATTTGTGCAAAGTGATATGATGCTGTCATGTTTCTTATTTGAACGTGGCATATTGTGTGGATAGTTGTTTAGATATGTGAAGGTAGAGGTTTAAAAAATATAGAGCTGTCCTACATTCCTACATAGGATTTTAAAAACATATACAAACTTTTCAAAAACGAAAAAATAAAAAAAAATTTTTAGTCAATCCCTTGAATTAGTTGTTGGAAATTATCGATTTGTCTTTCCTTAAGTAATAAAACCCTTTACATCGCACCACTGAACATTATATGGGCCATGACCATTCAGTATAGTAGGTCTACTATCAATTTCAAAACGGTTATTTAGGTTGGAAAAGAAACTACTAAAAATATTTGGTACTTATTTAGTGTGGTGGTTTTCTGTTGTATCAGCAACTGAAGAATTAATAGGTGTTTGCATTTTTAACTAGGAGATATTGCAACTTCATCCAACTAAAGAAACTGAAGGTAAACTCATTGAAGTGCAAGGGATATAACAATGGTTGTTTTAAACACGTGATTGCTCTACAAAAACACGACGTACAACAGTGATCACCTGGTGTTAAGTGATACTATGACATTTGCCTCGTTATCAGTCGACCTTACCTCCAACCCTACACGATCACGAGCTTCTTGTTATCCTAACTCGTGCTGCACTCTCGGCTCTCGTGGTCGACCGAGGAACTAATCATACTCTGATGCTCCCGATCTGACCTCAGATACACTGATTTATAGTCTCTCCCCACTCTCGTTAAAGTTACATCCAGAGTAGTACAAGTAGCCCAAGGTTTGTGTTAGGGTTTGCTTGGATTTTGCGCTATGAATCGTAGGGTGAAAATGAGAAATTTAAGATGTTGAACTTCGGTGTACTCGTAGAAGCTGAGAATGAATGTTTTTGGATGTTTTTACTGATCGGAGTTGATTTCTTGGTGCATCAAGAGGTTGATAAATTCAACCATGCTTGAGGCTTTTCGTAGCATTTCCATTTCTTTCGGATGCAAAGTGACTCATTTTGACAATGTCAAATACAAGACTCACGCATAAAAGACAAACTGGGCATGTAGCTTTTTATAGAACGATGCTTGTAGGTGATGAAACAACTGTACCCAAAAATTGGTGTAGGCCTACTAACAAAAAATACAAAAGTAAACAGTTATTGGAAGACGAATGTTAGTATGGCAGTCCAGTACTGTGAATAAGAAAGCTTTGCTTCAGGTAATTTTCAAGATTTGTTAAGAGATAAAACACGAAAAAGCCATTGGTTTGATTCAAGAACTTATAACAAATTCTGGGTTTTAAGCTGCACCTGACTAACTTAAACATTTTCAACAAATAGTATAGGCCTACTTCGTAATTCATATAACATCGACACCAACAAACTCTGACCGTTATGATGAATAACTGACAACTCGTCGCAATGACATAACAACATACGTATCTATGAAACCAAACACAACTTCTCGTACAACTTAAACTACTCTAATCAATTCATCAAGTTGATATTTACATCGCAAATGGGGTGGTGCTTGTAAGGCAATTGCAACCTAAGTCCCGTCTCAAGTTGTCAAGTATTCTTAGCAAGTTGAAGTTGTGAGCCGCAGACTGGCGTCCAAACTTTCCCACTTTAACACGGCTCAACGCGAACTGATGCTGTCGCACATTCACAGATGCGCTTTAAGTAACTTAACAGATAACTTCACCGAAAGAAACAGCTCAAACTTATTTTAATTAACTATGGATTTGGATTAAGGACGGGTGATTGTGTGGTTGGATGTTGTTCATTGTTTAAGATACAAATAAAAAAATCCAGTACCATTAGACTGTGCAAAATTAATTCTTAAAGAAAATTTTGTATTCAAATAGATTCGTGAAGAAAAAATGTACTTACGAACTAAACAAAAACGTTCTGACAAGGTAATCATTTAGAAAACACATTACTACGTTTAATTTAAAATTGCTACAATTTGAGTGCCCTCGCATTCTCCTAAAAAATTACAGTTTGGATCTATCGAATAACTCTGTCTAACCGTATATAACTTTTACCATTACGAAAGAGTATTATTTTCATTTCTATTTGGTTGACAATCACTTTTTGTACAATGGCTTCAGCTCCTATGTACTATGTCCAACAAAGATCTTCATTCTCTCTGTTCCTTGCACGGATTGCGTCATACGATCCGTTTTGTCCAGCCCAGAAAGGATCCGGAGCTTGTCAAGGGACGAAGATTAGCTAACGGTTATCAGATAGACCCGCACATGTCTAGCCCTAGCTACCAGCTTCGGATACCGGACACCGACCTATTTCTATCTTGCGTTCGGATAACGGTTGCGTCAAAAAGAGTCGAGTTGCTCGATGCTTGATGGGAGGTTCACAATGCCGCAGGTGGGACCTGACGGCTCAAAGAAGGTAAATGTTTGCGATAAAAAGCCACCGGGAGACGGTAAAAAACCGCCTGTTGACGTAATGAGTCCCTGATTGAAGGCTGAATGCGGCACGAATCGCTGCGTTTTTGTGTGAACAAAAAGGGACTAAATAACTCATTTGGGTTTCTTGCGGACGGAGATCACTTCTTGCAAGGCGGAGGGATTTATGAAGCTCTCAGATGAGACAAGCCGTTTGTTCTGTGATTTTTGGGCCCCGAATAATTTTTGCTACAAGGCCCAAGTGTTCTTATTTGTTTTTAAATTAACTCCCCTAATAAATTATCCTTCAAGTCCTAATTGAATTGATAAATAATTTATAGTGAGAAGAATATCTCAATACAAATTTATGTTGGGTCCTCAGAACTGAGCATTTCCCCTAATAAAAGAAGGTGCTTTATATCTAATAAAGTGTAGACAATACTAAGACTGTAAACTGCAGACTATAAAACCATAGAATCCAAAATAGTTAGTGAGTCTTAATTCATTTTTTAAAGACTCACGATTTTCTGGTTAACTCTAGTAACATTTTTATAACTTTGAACAGGAATCTTTACAACAATTGAATGAAATCACTGATGATTAATGAAAACAAAATCATGTGAATATGTATCAAATATGATTAATAATGTTGTAAGTATAATGTTTTGTTGTGCAATAGTAATCCTAATAGTATTCCATCTAGTCATGCACGCAACATTTCGTGTCAGTAATAAGGAAAACCCCAGATACGAAAATAAAATTAACTCACCCTAAAGCAAAAGAATGAATAAAGCACGAATGAGGAAACCAAACGGAGTTCCAAAACATCCCATTCTGAATAGGAAGTAACAACATTGGACTAACTCCCGACATTTTCCCGATGAAAGAAAACGCTAAGTATAAAATATGCAAAAGGGTAAAAAGTTTGAAAGTTTGGGCGATGAAAGCTGTTTGGCATCATCGTAGGGTCTTTGTGTCGGGTGGGGGGGGGGGAGGTTCTCGGGGGCAGAAATCACATTTATCACTCGGCCCGGGAGGAAGCCCGAGTCAAAAGCAGCTCCCCAGGCCTTCGTAAGAATCAGCAAGTCGTTAAGACGATATTGGTGGAGTAGATGTGATGTATATACAAGTCTTGGACATCTCCCCTTGTCCACAATTACCAGACCCACATCCCTGTAATTGTTTCCTCAGTGCGGGATTTATTCCCGTCATGTTCTGGAGAGAACGATGTAAATCACCGCAATTTCATTTCCGTTCAGCGTCCACGGCGGCTCCTCAAGGGGCGGAACTGGGGTGACGGAGCTTAAGAAATGTTACGTTTCTGCAGATAATTGTTTTACTGAAGCGTAAACTCTCGTGGAGGGATGAGGGTAAGTGATCCTTTACAATTAGTTGTCTTCTTTCGAAAGTATCTTAAACGTTTTTTCACCGTCAATTATGACGAGTGAAAAGCATATTTCTGAAGGGTTTATCAGCAATGTGCCTGTGACAAACTGTGTACGCAAGAGAAGGATGCGTAACTTACTTAACTGTGTATTTTGTAGAATCCTTTTCTAAGCGTGATAAAGAGGTTAGATTGCCCTACGATGTTGGGTACGTAGATTGTAAGTGCGGGGGTTCGTAATGTAAAATTAAAATAAATATTTTCATGTACAAAAAGTTAACTTTAAAAGGTGACACAGGATTTTTCTCCTCGATCCTTCCAAAACAACCACAATCCCATACACTTCACAAAAACAAATTCCAAACATGACATTTCCCAAATGATTTCGGGACCTTCAGATACAAGTCCTACCCCACGAGCACTTAGTCGGTAAGATAAGAGGTTTTCGCAAAAACCAAGTGATGCACGTCTTGAAGCTGGACCAATTGAAAACATGAAGCTAATCTATTACTGTGGGTGATGAGGATGCGCGCGCATCGTGCCCGGAGCGCTAGTGCTTGGTGTCAGTAGGTCCTCAGCTTCAGTCGTGTTAGAGACGTCTAACAGGGAGGTTGGACCAGGCAGATCGATCTGCTTATACACGTGTTCGTAGTGCGAGTCGCGCGGATATTCGGTTATTGTGTTGTGTTCTCTTCGACTGTGTACCGGGACTTTGGTGAGTCGAAGTTTATATATGTAGATAAATTTGTTTTAAGATTTTAAATTAGTTATTCAATGGAACTACTTCTAATGTGAAATTATTGAGAAATATTAAAAATATAGTTTAGTGATATTCGGTTTAATGTATTACGTTGGAGAATAAATAAAATAAAACACTTTTTTATCCGAATCCAAATTCGTTCTGGATTTTCTTCAAGCTCTTCATATTTTGGTTATCCATTATGAAGTGCTTGAAGAAAATCAATAACAAATTTGGATTTGAATAAAAAGGTGTTTTATTTGATTTATTTTGTAACGGCATACACCATTTTACAACATGTACTGCAAATCACCAACAAAATGGGAAACAACTAAAGAGGCTGACAATCACTTAGATATAAAAACCAATTGACTATTGAAAATAAAACAAGCATTAACGACAAATTAAAATAATATGTGAGCAAACAAAATAAATAAATATTTAACAAATATTAACAATGCAATTATGTTGTCGTATTATTCCCGAACAAACATAGTTCAGTGAATGTGATTATTTTTTGGTAAATGTGATCGCTAATATTAAATTCCAATTAATTTAACTACCAACGTTTTTACCTAAAAGATGTATAAACTCTGCCGGTATGAAAGATACATCGGGATTGATCTAATATTGTAAGTTGTGTATCAAAAATGGAGCACCCTTAATAAAGGTAATACTATTGCAAATACAATAAATTGCAATATAAATTGTTTTAATGTCAACACCGTTTAAGGAAAAACAATACTAAACACACTTTATTAAGGAGCTTCTTGAAACGTCCCCAATAAATGACATGTAAGGCTAATACCTGTCATAACAACATTCATAACAATTTCGTAACCCACTCAGTAAAGACGTTGTGTAGTGTATATCAGTGAACATTTGCAATTTGATAAAATATTATAAAATATACTATTCTTGTAAAGTATCATTTAATACTAACTTTAGGAATCTACTTAACACAAACTTAAACAGTTATCACTTAATCATGAACTTTAAAACACGGTACTGTATTGAAATCTATAACAATTATCGTTTGTATAGTTTTGACATGCAATAGTTGTTTATTATTAGATATATTGTATTTGAAAATTAAATTTTCATTTTCAAATACAATATCTACTTAACATTACATAAACGTATGAAATTGTAAAAAGGTGCTGTTAATAAAGTACGTAAATGAGTACTGTATCAAGGAAAGAATCTCATGAGAACAATATAATAACTGCACGTATTATTGGTTGTTTAAGTATTTAGAATACGTCCCACAAGATCCATTATTGTTTACAAATATTTAAAATGTACGAAATATTATATTATTATGTTTAGTAATAATCAGGAATTCAATAAATATATTTATGGCTCTTAAAATGTCAAAATTCAGTTATTATATGTGCTGTAGACGTCCCCTCATATAAAACATAAAACAAAACTTTAGGAGTTAAAACAATTTACATACGGGATAGAAAGTTTCAGAGACATAATTGATGAACTACGTAAATAGCCGCATAGCAGCCAGTTGGAATATTAACAAAAATTATGTTGTACAGCCATACCGCAAATAAATATAAGATAAATATAAAACTAAATTCATCTCATATTTCAAAACAGTTAATTATTATTTTATTCTCTGTTTTCCTCCAGTTCTATTTTGTTGAACTAAATATAAAATCTCCCTAACATTAAGAAAATTAAATAGCAACTCTCCTTATTAAGAAAAGATAGGGTTAACCACGTTTATTTTTATCGATATATGTATGTATGTTTGAGGAAATTGATCTTAACTGAACAATACCTCCTCCTCCAGTAAGTTTATTGAAATTTAAGTTGATATTTTAACGTCTAGCCATATTAAAAACTTCTTGTCCACTTATATTCGCAGTTGAAAAGGCATTGCATAAAAGTAAGTCAACCCTGGTCATAGCTCTTTAAAAAAAATACGATTGTTATACAAATCTATTTACTGTTGCAGTGAACATTTCTTATCACAGTTAGTAATCATTATCCAAAATTCCTTGTCACCAAAATGTGGTTAAATTGCTATATTTAAGTTTACCTGTAGCAACATCGAATTAAAAATGTGTACCTTAAATAATAAGTATTTTAGCAGAGGTTTAGAGGAAATGATTATAATTTCCTAATAGAAATTAGCTTTTTAGTTAAATGGAGGTCAAAGTATATAATATAAACTTATGTAAAAGGTATAAGAACTTAAGATAGCAGGACACTGAATTGGAAGTCCATCCTACAACGCTCTTTTTTAACTACACAACTTGCTGAAACACAGAAGGGTTGTGCACCTCTGTAAGACTATTATAAGTCAAAAACGTAGTATATAGGCAACGATTAACCTATCCAAGTATTTTACGGTGACAATTACAAATTTCTGAAACAATACTTTTAAACACATAACTTCAAATTACAATAGACTCACTCACAATTTACATTTAAAACTACAGTATATTTACCGTGTCTGGATCGAAAACTGGTAGATAATGGCGCGCAAATGATGTGTGCGAACTCTGTTTACCTGAATTTGCGTCAGGTATAGAGTGGGGGGGGGGGGGGGTAAACACGGAGAGCAAAGTGGATTGCTGCCCCCCTTTTCACCCCCCAAAATACTTATCGGGTCGATTTGTTGTGCCTGTGACATCTGTAAACCTAAATCATATTACTTCGTGAGAACTTTCACACATGCCTGACTCAGGGATTACATTCATTTCCGGATGTTTATTGTTTCAACACAAATAATTTGTGTTTGTTTTGATTCGCTCGTGTTATTTTTGTTTGGCAAATTCGTAATTTTTGCTATTTGCTTTTAGAGACACATTGAAAGGGTGAATTCGTTTCTGCCTAAGCAGTTTAATCAGACCGCACTATATAAGGTTAAATCCAGGCTTTTACAAGTGCAGCTTACTTCTGAAACAAAGGTGCACGTTTAATACCTATTGTTCTGTTAGTTATCAAAGTGTTTCTATTGACCGTTAAACAGTGTGCCCAATGACTTCTGTCTAAATTAGTTATGAATCATGTGTCAATGCTGCATATGAAGTGTGCTACGTTGAATTAACAATTATGCTTGTGGATTCATATACGTACCAAACACCAAAACGTTGCATTATATGATCTGTATTGTCATTAAAGATTCTGCTCAATATACGCTTGTCGTTGGAATTTCCAATGATATCTTTAAATGTTTAGAAGTTATCTTTTGATGGTAACAAATCTTTAAAAATCCTTCACAATATTAACTTTATGGTAGCCACCAAGGAAAACCCCCTACTCTTAATCAAACACTATAACTATACCAATTGGAATAAACCCTAAGGTCGTAATAGTCCAATTACATGTTAGTGTTACATTTTTTTTGAGTGTTGAAATTATAATACTCTCGTAACATTTCACATTGTTGGCCATAACACTGTGTGCTAAAAGCCAATAAAGTATCACAGTCTTTAACGTAATCCTCCTGTTCAAATTAAATGGGCACTGCCTCATGACAGAAATGCAAAAATACGCTTCCCTATTACCATAAAGGGCCGCAAACGGCGGGGCTAAAATTAAAGGGTATACGGGCACGAGATGCTTTATAAGTGCGCTCCCCAGCTGACCTGTGGATCGCCAAAACGCAATATACTCTAATGAATAAATTGCTAACGAACCATCCTCCACCAAACTTGGCAGTTCGTTTGCCTTTGTTTCTAAACAGAGTGAACGCTCTTATATCTAATGGATATTCCGTGCTGGATGTGGGCGGCAAATTACGGTGTTTGCGATGTTATTTAGCCATTGCGATAACGGTATGGGATTCTATTATTCATTATTTACCCTTATCTAAATGGACTTTTTTCTCTGGTTTACAGGTAATGGGGTTGGTTGTATATGTCAAGTTGTAGTTCACAGTAGTTCGTGCAGCGATAGCGATAGTGGTACTGTAGTTGTATTGTTCTAGGATACACTTTATCTTTTGGTAATTATCAACTTAATTTACATTGTAAGTAGCTGTACACGAGTGCTATTAGCTGCGTTTTACGATAACCTTTTTTATTTTTTATATTCTTGTAATTAAAGAAGAATGTAGCAGTAGAATGTTTCATTATGAACTCAATTATCCATGGATATAAAAACAGGCAATAATAGGTCGTTAAAGAGCTTTATATCACCCAAAAAAGCCATAATATTTACTGCTTACTAATGACACAATCATACTTGCAATTGGTATAGTAAATAATAAAATTGGTTATAAAGGACTTCTGAGAATAAGTTTATTATGATTTTTAATTAAATTTATTATATATTTGATTTATTTTGCACTATATCGAAAAGAACGTTCTCTGTGGCAACATGTATAACTGTATAACCAATTACGATATCAAACTTGTCTTTGCATTAATAAAACTTTTTTAATTAACTTGCTATGATTTCAATAACAATTTTCCTCTTAGTAATAGCTATTGTAATAATACTTGAAAACCTCATTTTAAATCCGCATCTATCCTCACAGCAGAAATGTACACGTAAGTATTTTTTTAAAGACAAATAAATCATAATTCATACAAATTTTCTGACACAAACCGACAGACACATATAGACTGTATGTGTTACAAAACCATTATCAAACAATTCTTATAGTAGTAGGGAATTCCTAATTAGACCTTGGTCCTGTATTAACTATGAATTACTCAACGAGTGTTTGCTGGATTTAACTGCTACGATGAATATGACAAACCTTGGTTTTAGTTTATTGTTGAAAGCATATTTAATTAATTATTACTCAGATTATGCAGAATTTTAATAAGATTTTTGCGCAAACAACAATCAACAGATTATTTTCCATGGGTATAACATAGTTTGTTGTATATACATTATTATATTATATGCTTTTAATATTATTTGTCCTGTGTTATACATTTTAACTAATTTGGTACCCAGATAGTGTTCAATGAAGATTTTAATGCCAAAAGTTATGTGTAGTT